TGTGTGTGTGTGTGTGTGTGTGTGTTTTTCTCAGGGCAGCGACGGACCTCAAGGACCAGGCGGTCCAAAAGGAATCAGAGTAAGAAAATCTTCTCAGGTTTAATAAAAACAACAACTTCTTCAGTCAAAGTTACGCTTTGATTAAAATGCTGAATTTACCTGAAAATGAAAAGCCTGGGCTGTAATGTCCTCACCTGGCCAGCAGATGTCCCCATTTCTCTACATCAGAATTAGTCTCTCATCTATAACTTTTTTATTATTTCTACAGAAGAACATTTTCTGTTTATTCTCTGTGTTTTATGTATTTTATTATTCATTATATTTATTTTAAGCTTTTAAGTTTATTACTTTGGTCGAGTGTGTGATTTAAATGAACTTATGTTTCTGCTCTAATATTTTCTAATGTTTATCTTCAACCTGCTTTGAATTGTTTTCTCTTCTTTGCCTTCTTTGTCTTCATTTTTACGCTGTAACTGCATCTTGAAAGATAAATAAAGTTTGTTATCACTATGAAGACGACTGACGTATTATTTTCTCTTGAACAGGGGCCTCCAGGATTGCCTGGATTTCCAGGAACACCAGGTCTTCCGGTGAGTTTCCCGTCGTCTAAAATTCACCTGGAATTGTTTCCTTACTTTGATAAAACGAAGACGTCTGAACTTGACGTTGACTTTGTGCTCATCAGGGTCTGCCGGGTCAGGACGGACCTCCGGGCCCGAGAGGCGTGGCAGGATGCAACGGAACAAAGGTATTTTTAATTATCTGACGAAATATCTTTCAGAGAAGTAAGAAAAAAAGAACAGAACAGAAAAATGGATTTTTCTTGTTTTTTAAAGTCATGCATCAACCTCTTCTTCCTGTGCTCTGCAGGGTGAACGGGGTTTCCCAGGAACTTCCGGGATCCCAGGACAACAGGGTCTAATGGTGAGTCACGGACCGGTTTCTAACAAAAATCTGCAAAGTCTCTGGTTTCCATCTTGTCTCTGAAGGTTCATCTTCTTCTTCTCTCCGTCACAGGGACCACCAGGTCTGCCAGGGTCAAAGGTCAGTTGACCCACACATCGTCTTCACAGGACGTCTCTGGGAGCCTCAGGAACTCTATATTTTCTGATTAGAAATCCTCTGAATGAAGATAAATAAATAAAAACTAGACAGTTCTCCTTCAGTGAAAGTGTTTCTGGTGCTTTGAGGTAACGAACCTCGCTGAAGTTTAAATCTTCGTCCACAGGGAGATCCAGGTGACGTGATCTCCAGTAATCGGTTTGGAGATAATGGAGCAGTGGGATTACCTGGAGTACCAGGAGTTCCTGTAAGTCGTCTTCTGTAATTGTAGATACTTAAATGTGATGTATCCTGTACACATGCTCATTATAAAACTGTGTATCTGGTTATGTGACAGGGCTCACCGGGGCCCCCTGGTTTACAAGGTCCACTCGGGCCCCCGGGACCCAGAGGTTATGAGGTAAAATCTTTTCCAGTTCCTTTTCATTGACAGCGTTTTATTTGAAGATGGTGAAGTAAATGGTTTCCGGTGTTTTTCAGGGTCGTCCAGGTCCTCCCGGTCCTCCTGGACCCAAGGTGAGATGATTTCTTCTTCTTCTTCATTTCGTCACCCCACTGATCATAGAAATAAAACGTGTGTCTCTGCTTCGTCTTTGCAGGGAAACATGGGTTTGAACTTCCAAGGACCCAAAGGAGAGAAGGTAAAGTCTGACGGTCGTTATTAAAGTTCTTCTCAGTCTAATGTTCCTGAATCTCATTTTGTTGGTTTGTGTGTGTGAACGCAGGGAGAACCAGGTTTGCAAGGACCCGCCGGTCCCCCAGGACAGGTGGGAGAACAGAAGAGGCCCCCGGAGACGGAGATCCAGAGAGGAGACAAGGTGACGCCACCGCCCTGAACCTGAGCGTGTCAGTTGATCAGGTCCTTCAGTCACAATCAGTGGACAACAACATTAAACACAGTGACCACAACCAAACCTGAAGCAATACATAAAAAATAAGATGCAAACATTACAAAGAACACGACTCATTAAAGCTGCAAATGAGTCACATTCATGTCAGAACATTTATCTTTCAACTTCACACACGATGCAGGAACAAAAAGGCTGCAACTCCCACAGTGGCCACTTGATGTCAGCAGTAGAGAGTGTTTTAGACTAAACACGAACTTTGTCGATTGTTTATTTAAAATTTATTTTGCACTTTTTAAACGAAATGAGTATTTATTTATTATTTATTTTGTTAAATTGTCTGTTTTTATTTTTATATTTTTTATTTAAATCAATACATTCCACAACAGATTTGACCGAAACGACCGGCACAATACTTATTAACGCTTCAAGGTCGTGAAACACCAGCGTTGGTGAAACCTCTGAACTTTTTGAATTTACCGTTTTTGTTCGTTGCGTTTTCTCTGCAGGGCGACCCAGGACTTCCCGGCCCTCGGGGTGATCCCGGTTATCCAGGTTCTCCCGTGAGTATCTGTGTAAAAATAAAACCAAATAAGAAAATGTATTAATTGATGATTCAATCAGCGGCTGAAGGAAGTCATGTGTTGTGATGGCAGGGCCCCTCAGGTGGACAGAAAGGAAGCAAGGGCGAACCAGGAGAGGCCGGCAAACGAGTGAGTCCAGATACAAACACATATTTACCGCTGCGTTAAACTTATCATCAGGTCAGATTAGTTTTTATAAAAATGGACGTATGAGCCCAAATGTATTTTTAATATTTGTATTGACACGTTATTAATTTTGTCTCGTGAAGACAAACCATGAATCAGCATTTTCATCTCTTTTCAGGGTAAACCAGGCAAAGATGGCGACCCCGGTCCTCCAGGATACCCGGTGAGTTCTGCCAAACATACCACACAATTCATTTCATTTAAAATTTTGAAATAAATATTTAACCTTGAGTAAATCACGTCAGTTATTCAAATTCTTTCCTTTCTCACCCTCAGGGAGGCAAAGGAGAGTCAGGCCTGCCAGGTCCTCCAGGCAGAGACGGAGAGAGAGTACGGTTTTATCGATCTATTTATTATCTGTGTATCTTTAATGGACACGTTAAACGGAATCAATTCGTTTCATTGTTGGTGTTTGAATCACACTTCGATGTTTCTTTCAGGGTTTCAAAGGAGAGCGTGGATTCACAGGTCCACCTGGAGTGGTGTGTATTTTTCTTTTACTCATTTTTCAAAGTGAGTTTTAACTCAAAGTCCAAAGCATTTTGTTTTTTTAAATTTTAAAAGATTTGAGGAGCAGCCAAAGCTTCTCATCCATCAGCTTTCGAACGTGTAATCACCCGAGTGCTCTTTAGCAAGGCAGTTCCATTATAAGAGCAAAGGCAGGTCCACAGATCTGTGCAGCCAGAAATAAAAATACTTCCTGATATCAATAACACCTTAGTGCACTACATACTTTTGTCCACATGGTGGTGACGTTTCTCTCTCTTTAGTTTCTTTTAGTGTAATTAAAGTAATTTATATGTATATATAAAATAGGATAAAAAAATTTGGCTATAAAGAAAACGATATCACAGAGGAAAAATCGATCTATTTACTTCTCAGTATTTCTGTGTCTTGCACTGCTGATCCAAGGGACGTCTTAGTGCGCAACATTCTTATCACCACAAGATGGTGCCACTTCACTCCAACTCATTTAAATTTTGTGACATTTTTCAAAAAATCTTAAAGTTCTTTGTATTTACAATATTCGAAAAACAAATAATCCTAGTTACGACAACTTGTATAATTTTGTTTTGTTAACGTTCTTATTGTTTGTTCTTTCTGTGCTAAAAGGTGATTGGCGGGCAGACAGGAGGTAGGGTCGGTCCGAAAGGTGAGCCCGGATACCCCGGATCACCTGGACTCAAAGGAGATCGAGGACCAGCAGGTAAAACACAAAACTCACACAGAGACATTCAAGTACTTCAAGAAAATCAAAAACGACGAAAAGAGAATCACCTTCGATGAATCATTTCCCAAATAAAACTTCAAATGTGAAATGTCTTTTTTTGATTTTACATTAAATATAGGAACATTTCGATTGCGACAATATGATAAATGTTTAAACCAAAGTCGAACTGTCAGAATTATTTGAATTATTTACAACTAAAAATAGTCAAATAAATTGATTGTATAGATAGTACGTTTCAGCCCGACAAGGTTAAACACCGCCCCCCCTTCCACTTTAAGGTTCAACGGGACCACCGGGACCACCAGGACGTCCAGCCGTCGGTGGCGGCGGTCAGCCTGGACCTCCCGGTTTCCCCGGAGAGAGAGGTCAGAAGGGAGACGGTGGTGCTCCAGGCCTCTCTTTACCAGGAGCCCCAGGACGATCTGGATCTCCTGGCAGCCCGGGACCACAGGGGCCCCCTGGACCTCCAGGCTTTTCCAGCAGCGCACAAAACTGCGTCGCCGGAGAACCCGGGCGCCCCGGTGTGCAGGGCGAGAGAGGTTACCCCGGAAATTCGGGACAGAAAGGTGAGAGAGAAGAAAGACGCTGCTGCTGTTTAAAAACATGTCCGATCAAATAGCGATGTGCAACGTGGTCCACCCTGATGATCTCATGCCGTTTCAGGTGAGAAGGGCGAAACCTGCGTGAACTGCTTCAATGACATCAGCTCGATCCCAGGAGAGAAAGGACTTCCTGGACCACCTGGATTCCCAGGTAAGACCCCAAGACTTTATTCCTACACGGAACATTAGCTGTTACTCACTTTGGGTCAGGGGTCCACGTCCGAGAGAAAATTGAGAACCTCTGCTCTATGATATGTGGAAAGTTCAGGTTATTATTATTATTATTATCATATCTGCTGTATTTCACTTTACATTTGTATTATTTGATAGTTACAATCACTCTGAGTGACAAGCGCTCAAATATTATAGTTCGGTTTTGTATGTGTAGATATTCAAACACACACACACACACACACACACACACACTTCTGACGCAGACCATATTGAAAACCAAACAATCTCATTTAGACACTAAATCACAAACACGATGTTCCATCCACACGGTTCAACGCGTCGATGAGTCGTAGTCGTAGTTTGTCTCTTGATTTAAACTTTGCAAGAGATTCAGTTTGATGATTTAACACAAACACAACTTACACTGATTCACTCAGGAGCCGCAGGTGGAACGACAGGAAGTCACACCTCAACAGACAACACAAGCAAAGTCATTTCAAAATAAAACAGGAAATAAGACCGTGTCTGGGCAGGAAGTTGATATTATATCGTGACAAGAGTTTTTTTGTAGAAGAAGTTTATGTAGAAAAGTTTAGTTTAGTCTAACTTGTACCAGTTACTGCATGTCACGGTATAGTATATGTTACTGTACTAGAAGTTACATTAAATCCCTTCATGTGATTATTTATCGCCAGTAATTTCCGATTCTTTTTCTTTATGTTTCTTTCTGGATGCTTGTTGTTATTTTAAACTTTTGAATTTTTCAAATTATGTAAATAAATGTGTGTCTGTTATTTCTGCGGTCCGTCTCATCATGTAGTGCATCTCGCTTTTATTTCAAATTTGCATCTTCATTCCGACCAGATGTGTCAGAGACACCTGCACAGCTGTATAACAACTAATAATGAGATTCATATCAAAGTATTTTTTTCCGTAATCTTGTCGTCAAGATATGAATTAAGACTTGATCTCTTATTCCTTTTCTTCAGGTAATCCTGGCAACCCGGGTTTGAAAGGAGACAGAGGATTTCCAGGGAATCCCGGAAGTGCTGGACCCGCTGTGAGTGGTTTACTCTTTCCTTAAAGATCACATATACAAACAGCCATTTTTTGCCTTATTGATATGATTTGGCAGCATTGTTGTTAGAAGTTAGTTTTTTATAATCATATTTTTATAACAATATTTTGCCCACAGTTTTCAAGATTCTTAAATATTGATCTTTATATCTGCCTCAGAAATCCAGCGTCAGTCAAATATTTATCCAGTAAGATCTCTCTCAAGTATCTCTGGCCATTGGTCGAAGTTTGATTGTTATGGCAGAAAGCAAAAGGTCATATCTAAGATACCAGAAACCTGTGGAATTATTTTCGTATCCTTTTGGTTCCAGGGTGCCCCCGGCCCTCAAGGTTCCGCAGGATTCCCCGGAGAGAAAGGTGATCCAGGTGATGCCATCACAGTCCCTGGTGGGCGGGGAGAGAAGGGTGACACTGGCTTCCCTGGACCCCCCGGTCTTCCCGGTCTGGACGGTCGACCTGGTCGTGATGGACAACCTGGATCCCCGGGGCCCAAAGGATCTTCTGTAGGTGTCGTTTTCTTTCCAATATTTAGATGCATTGATCAGTGTATGGATCATTTCATAACTAATGTGTGCCTGTGACTGTGTTTGGTAGGGCTCTCTGCTGGTAAAAGGAGAACGAGGACCCCCCGGTGAGCCGGGTTCTCCTGGTAATCCAGGAGACAGGGGTCCGCCAGGTGGCCCCGGCTTTGGACCTCAAGGGCCTTCCGGAGAAAAGGGTATCCAGGGCGTCTCTGGAAGACCTGGAGGTCCCGGTGCTCCTGGTAAGAGGATCACTCACACACAGATTTATCCAGTGATGATCCCAATAAGAAACTGATTTCCTGCTTCCCTGCTATTACTGGGGCTCAGGGACAGTGCCTTGCTCAAAGACACATCAATGAGGATGGAAGTTGCTGTCTTGGGGATTTAACCAGAGTTGCCTATAATGTGATAGCAGGAAGAGAATGACTTGTTCTTTCAAAGTCAATATTGGCCTGAATTAATTAAGTCACAGTTGAACAACGGGTCCATCCAATGAACACAAATCAATTCTCTGACCTCTGACCTCTGTCATCGCTCACCATGCAGGTGCTAAAGGTGAACCTGGCCTGACAGTGGCAGAGAAAGGTTTACCAGGACCCAGAGGACAGGATGGAGAGCCTGGACGGCCTGGTCCACCAGGTATAGATGAGTCATGATTTATCATGCATTTTACATGCAGTTCTTACATGCATAGTAAAGCTAACATGTATTCATTGTCTCATGGGCTTTGCTTTTTTAATTTTCTGTTCTCAGGTGACGCAGGTCAGTTTGGACAGCCTGGTTTCCCTGGTTTACCCGGAGTGAAGGGTGAACCTGGCCTCCCTGGCATCGGACTCCCTGGACCCCCAGGATCTAAAGGTAAAGACATCAACAATCGCTCCTTCCATCCTTCATCCTCCTGCTCTGTCTAGCCACCTCTTCTTCCTTCCCATTTTTTCTCCATGCAACCTTTCCCTCCTCCCTCATCCACCTTGTTTCTTTTCTCCTCCAGGATTCCCAGGTATCCCAGGTCAGCCAGGATCTCCTGGAGGACCAGGCAGACCAGGAGTAGACGGACTCTCCGGCCAGCCTGGAATTCCTGGATCCAAGGTAAGTGCAAATGGAAAAAAAGAGAAAGAAAATTATTTAAACATTTGTAATAATACAAATGGGAAATACATCAAGCAAAATCGAAAAAGGTTAATAAGAATATAAATATATAAAAAAGTAAAATCTTTGAGAAGCTGAACTGAACATAGGATTATATTCTCTATAACAGACCATCTAAATGTTCATCTTGTGTTTGTAACAGGGTGAACCTGGCTTCGGACTTCCCGGCCCACCTGGTTTACCTGGAGTACCCGGATCTAAAGGTTTCCCCGGACCAAAGGGAGATCCTGGTTTCTCTGGTGGCCCTGGTTCACCAGGAAGATCTGGATTTGATGGCACCCCAGGATCCAAAGGTATTCTGTAGTTCTGTTATTCATGTGATGAGTCTGAACTTTGGGACATGTGCATGAATGTGTTATATCAGCACAACAAAGCCGAATCCTCTTCTCCCTTTCCAGGCGAGCCCGGTTTATCTGGTGTCCCTGGAGCTCGTGGCCCACCGGGATCCCCCTCCACTGGCTCATTTGGGCTCCCAGGCTCCCCTGGAGCTCCAGGCCCGATGGGACCACCAGGTTAGATGCAAAACATTGGATTGGAACAATTTTCCTGTCTAGGTTTTCTCGTTTTTTTCTCGTCTTACTGTGGGTGTGTTGGTGAAGGAGGTGCGGGTCCAGATTATTTTTACAGACTTGACCATTAGTTTTATCTTTGCTTTCAAGGAAGGGAAACCGTTGTTAGTGAGTCCCACCACTTTTCCTTCAAATACACACAAAACCAAAAAAGTTTGAATACTCTGAGTTCATTAATGGTCATTTAATGGAAAAGATAACGCACATGACACATAACACCCTTCATCTAAATTGACCATGGGACTCCTGGCTCAGGGAATGAAACCCCATGCAGGCAGAGTTTGAAAACATTTCCATATTCAGGGACCGAAATCTTTCTGTCACTGTTACAGGATTCCCTGGATCAAATGGAGAGAAAGGTGACCCCGGTCCTCCAGGTCTAGATATCCCAGGTTTGCCAGGAGATAGAGGAAATCCCGGTTTCCCAGGTTCTACAGGACCAGCTGGAACCCCAGGACCTCCTGGAGGGCCTGGACGAGATGGTCTGCCTGGATTGCCAGGTGAAATGTATTTTTATATAGCCATAGCCATCTACTTGACTTGCTAACTGCTTATGTTGCTGGTTATCTTGCCGGTTTTCTCTTACTATTTATCTTTGTGTTAACGCTCCTCTCTGATTGGCTGCAGGTCAGAAAGGTGACATGGGTCCCATGGGATCCCCAGGACCCTCCGGAGGACCGGGAGGCCCAGGAGGACCTGGTGCTCCTGGACTTAAAGGTATTAAGCACACACACCTGGATGTTATTAAAGTTATTCTCACTCTCATCTCTGCACTGGTTGTGCTATAACACACAGTATTTCCGATGTTATATTTGCAATTTTATTATTTTTAATTCTAATACAAGAAGCCTAACCCTAAACACTGGTTTATAGTCTCTAAGCCATGAGGTTGTATATGAAAACTGCCTCTTAATTTGAATAATGCTACTTTTATATATTTAGTGACAGAAAGTGTGTCAATTAAAGCAGCAATATTAAAATGTTCTTCCTGTAGGTGAACCTGGGTTCTCAGGTCGAGATGGTTCTCCTGGTGGTTCCGGCATTAAAGGAGAAAGGGGTGACCCCGGTGTCGCAGGACCCCCAGGTCCTACCCTGACAGCAGCAGCCGTAAAGGGAACCAAAGGAGATTCAGGACTTCCAGGTAGAGTGGAAACACCTTCACTGCCTCTTTAGTCATTCAATCTTATGTCACGGGTGATAATAAAATATAACACACACAAATCAATTTCTAGTCACTGTATTATTACATGTTTTTTTTGTGTGTTCCACAGGTGGACCAGGTTTTCCAGGTCAGAAAGGTGTCAGCGGTCTCCCCGGAGACCCAGGACTTCCAGGATCAGATGGTCGCCCTGGACTCCCCGGACCACCAGGTATAGTTTTGACTTCCAACACATACACATAAAGACACATATACTCACACATACTCATGCAAATCAATCTCTAACATGCCACTTCCATTGTGTGCAGGTCCAAAGGGCGATGCTGGATTCCCAGGAGGCCCGGGAGGACCTGGAGCTCCAGGACTAAAAGGCAGCATGGGAGAAATGGGATTTCCTGGTGTGTTTGAATGTCTCATAGCGCTTTCTCAAGTCTTTGTTTCACCAAATAGTTGTTAAATTTCTTCCTAAATCAGAATTAAATGTTAAAATACTTAAAGTGTCATAAATGCTGTTGCTGCGCTGTGATCACCAGGACCAGCAGGGCAGAAGGGTCTACCAGGTCTGTCTGGGCGACCAGGAACCTCAGGACAGCCAGGAGGACCGGGTTTCCCCGGAGCCAAAGGTGAACCAGGTTCTGCCGGAGTTGGGCCACCTGGACCACCTGGATTCAAGGTACAAAACTTAGCTAATGAAGAAAAACATTGAAGTGCAGAAGTGCATATTCAAGCGTTGCTTCTTTTATGTTTTCTCGTAGGGTGAGCCAGGTCAGTCAGGGTTCCCAGGAAGTCCAGGACTCAAAGGAGCTCCAGGATCACCTGGTCTCTCAGGTTTACCTGGAAGTCCAGGTACCAAAGGTGATCCTGGCCTTCCCGGATTCCAAGGTAGGTTTAAAAGAGATGAGTCAATAAAGATGGTGACAGAGTTGATGTACATGGAAGAAAGACAACCTCCAGCACATTAATGACGGAAGTAGACTTTCAAGACTTGGAGTCATGTTCAGAGCCATCTTGCAAGTTATGGAGAAGGTTTTAGACTCCGACAACAGTGACTCATGCACTGTCCACCTTTTCCTGTCAGGTTCTCCTGGTATCCCAGGTCCGAAGGGTCTTGACGGTGGTCCCGGCTCCCCAGGTCTCACCGGATCACCAGGTAGACCAGGAGAGCCTGGCCGACCTGGAGCATCAGGTTTTCCAGGAGATAAGGGTCAGGCAGGTCGTGATGGAATCCCAGGACCGGCTGGAGTCAAGGGAGAGCCCGGTAAGTCACCCGCCATCTTGATCGGAATTAAATATATTTTGTAATATTTTTTTGATTTGATTAATCTCACCTCTGATTATTTTCTTCTACAGGGCTTCCTGGTCACGGAGCCCCTGGTGCCTCTGGGCTTCCAGGGTTTCCAGGTGAGTTCCCACCCACTATATGTACATTTTTACAATCATTGTCCGTGCCCTAATATACAGTACCAATCTCTACCCTCCCTATCTGTTCAGGTGCAAAGGGAGACCCAGGTCTTCCCGGTCCCTCTGGCAGCCCCGGTTTCCCCGGCTCTAAAGGAGAAGCTGGCTTCCCTGGTTCCCCTGGTCCTTCAGGAAACAGTGGCCCTCCTGGCCCTCCTGGACTGGCTGTGCAGGGCCCCAAAGGACTCCAAGGTCCCCCTGGACCTCCTGGACGAGCAGGTAAAGCACATCGATACATGCGGTCACGTGTGCTGCCGGAGGTTGCTGCCTGGTTTTGAGTAACGCTATCTGATCTGTAGGCAGAGTAGTGGTTTGATTTCCACTGCTCCACTGCTCACTCCATGGCCGAGGTAAAAAATACAAGATATAAAACCACCTGAAGGTTTCAATCTTAATTTATAGAATACACATTATTGGAGACTGATCGATATTGTGAAAACCAGGCAGCAAATGGCAGAAACTGCACTTTTAATCGTGAATGCTTTCATCTCTGTGCCAGTTGTTGATTTGCATGTGACGTTGTTGCACCAATCGCTGTAAGAGCTACGTCACAGTTTGACGCACCTGTCTGGTCACTGTCGGAAACACTGAGCACCCGTGATAAAAGTTTGTGTCGCACCTTCATCCACCTCCCACGCACCCTTCTGTGGAGGAAAGGTGGGCGTGCTCCTCACACGTAAATCATTGTTTGTCACTGGGGGTTAGACCACGCCCCAAAAAGAGCATGAGTTTCTCATCCTTTTGTTTTCATCCACCAATCCATCCGTCCACATGTCTCCTCACCCCTTTGCCCTTTTCTCCCAGAACGGGGGAGTCTGTAATCGCTTCATCTCTCCACAGCCCTGACGTACTGTGTCTGTGTGTAGCTGTCGTCGTCTTCACGTTGTGTGTGTGTCCAGTGTTTGTGTTCATGTGAGATCGTTTGGTCTGAAACAGCAGAGTGAGAGACAAACTCGCAATACTTTTTACCATATTTTTTATCATCACATTAAAAATCCACAGGATGTGAGTCGAGTACATGAAGGAGAATTTTACGAGAAAAAACTAAATCCTGTTTTTATATTAATTAATTTTCCAAATTTCAGCAAACAGGAGTAAATTGTAATGATATCTTTTGCAGCTACTTTCAGTGTTGGATGAATACTCGTGTACATTTGAAGGAGAATAACAGCAGCAGTGTATTTACAGCAGCAAGAGTGAAAACATCCACAGCTTTGATATTTGACATCAAATCTTAGCGTCTGGCTGTGAGTATTGTGAGCTTGTGTCTGGCTTTGCTGTCCTGAGTGTGGTGGGTTTTTTTTTTGTTTATCACATCAGTCATCTGCATGGGCACTGTCTGTCCCAACACACACACACACACACACACACTGAATACAAGCTGACACAGTGCTGGAAATTGTAAATACACCAAATTAATAAATATTCTCCATTCCAACCGCCAATAAACCGCACAAGGAAGAAGAATATTCATATTATAATTAATGTTTACAATCAAATCAGAGCTGAGTCACATATAAAATGTTCAGTGTCAGCTCTGACCACATGACGGCGCTGTGTCACGCTTTGAAAAACAACCACTCCTGTTATTGTGGGTAATTAATGTTGATGCCATGAATTATTTGCTTTCTGTGGTTTGCCCCCACCCACACATGGTGTGGCCCCGCCTCTTGGCGTGATGACTCGTGCGTCCGGTCGACGCAGGTCCCTCAGGTCAGATAAACGGCGTCCAGACTCTTACTGCACGAGTTTAATCTCTCTTTGTGATCCACTGGGAAAAAAACTTCACCTGAAAACTGCATTTTCTACATTTCTCACCCTGAGTAACTGTCGTCTTTTCACTTTCCATGCACACTGACGCTAGTGTAACGCACTTTAACAAGTAAGCACCTTCTGAAAGAACTTCTCTTTATAATGAAACAATAAAAGAAAATATATATATATACATATATATACAAATATATGTGTAACACACCCAAAATTTGAAAATGAGCACCATCAGCATGTTTAAATTTGTGTCTAACAGTCAGAATGTGATCCGCACTTTGTTTTACACAGTTTGTGCACAACAACACACACAAAGAACTAACTCACCTGAAACATCAGAAATCACTGTTGTTACTACGTCTCTACTTCAGTCGAGCTTGATCGTATTTAAATGTGAGCTTAAATTATTTTCGGAATATTATAATCAAAAGAGTTTAAAGGCTCAGTGTGTAGGATTTAGTGACATCTAGTGGTGAAGTTCGTGTTGCAGCTGGATACCCCTCACCTCTACCAATAGATTCCTTCAATCTAAATCTTACACACTGCACCTTTAAAGAGTTAAAGCCCTTGATTTTCATTGAAGTGCAGCAACAAAAACCCCAAAGAAAAGAAAAAATCTCGGACCAATGCAGATGCTGTATATAACATAAACAACAACAATGTCTATAAACCAATATCTCTGTGTTTGGGTTTAACCACTAGGTCTAATTACAAGTTGGCAGCTACAGTTAGCATCACTGCAACATATTACCGACATTCACAGACATCTGTTTCAAATAGAATTATTTGAACCAAAACACTATTCTCTGGTCATTTATGTTGACTTTATCGCCACCTACTGGCCCCGGCTGGCTTAAACTCTCAGATTATAACATTTGATATGTTGTCAAATCAACGTCTCCTCAGAATTGAAATAATCTATAAACTGAAGTAACTGCAGCCGTCTGAGGTGAAGCTACACATCTGTTTGGTTTAAAAGCTCCTGGCTGTGAAAAGATAAAATATCTGTGACTGTTTCTGTTCTTGCTTCTGTCTAAACCAGCTCTTCTTTTTTTTTGCCTCATGCCCTCAACCCGCCTCCGCTTTACCCGGGAATTCTGGGAACCCTAGGTCCTCCAGGTTAGACTCCAGTGGTTTGATGGTTGTTCTTTTTTGACTCCTGCTCTTCGATGGGGTTTGTGGGGGGGGGGGGCGATCGGGCGAAAAGTTCAAAGCGGGTTTGAATGTGTCTCGTTCTGAGTCGGGAAAATTAATGTGAAATCAATTTACAGGAATTTCAGGGTGGCGTCTATTTACTGGGAATGAACTTTTACTGGCAAATGTTTGGAGAATGTCCGAGTGAGTCCACGGGAGAATGTCCGGAGAAACACATTCGCACACTGGACATTTACGGCTAAAGCAAGAGGAAGATTTACTTTGTGTTGCCAATGTTTCCCTGGTTTATATCAAATACATCAATATATTTGTTCATCTGAGAGAATCATCTGTGTGCTGTGATGTATGATTATTGTAACGTGATGTTCACAGGCTGGTTATTTATGATGTATGATGTAACCGAATGTCCTGTTGTGTGTTCTGTGTGTTTCATGTGTGCGTCCATCATTTGTTGCTTCGTAAAGAAGCTGGGATCAGTTCATCGTCCGTTCACTTCTTTATAGAGATTTAAATTTATGTCAATTACAAAATCTGAGCGGAGTCCATGTTGTTCACAGATAGATGGAATTCAAACTGATCCCAGCCCTCGTGAGAAATATAGAAACCAGAAACTTCAAATGTGATCGTGTTATTTCTTTAATTAAACTGTACGTGACCTTTGAACCTTTGGCGTTTGCGTCTGAAGGTCCAGGCGGCCCGCAGGGTCCCCGCGGACCTGCAGGAAGTGGCGGCGTTAAGGGAGAGAAGGGTATTCCCGGCGCTCCTGGCCAGCCCGGCTTCTCTGGACAGAAGGGAGAGTCTGGTGTTCCAGGATTCCCGGTAAGATCATAACCTTACATTTCTTTTTTATTCGAAATGATTGCATTTGTGAAGGATCTTCGAGAGAGAGATGTGATGTAACCGTCTGCTCTTCTCTCCTCCCAGGGTACCTCTGGTGTTCCTGGCGGCTCTGGTATAAAGGGAGACATCGGTCTGCCTGGCGTTCCTGGATTCCCGGGTTAGTCGACAATCCTCGAACAGCATTTTCTTCCTACGTCTAAAAATCGATTTCATTCTTAATCATAGTCATCAACATGGATTTTTTTTTGTCTTTTGTTTTTTGACAGGACCCAAGGGAGACCCAGGAATTAGCGGTAGTAATGGTCTTCCTGGAGATCCTGGAGACATTGGGCCTGTCGGTGGGTGAACACACAGCAAATCAAAATCTGCAGCAACATTCACGTGTCAGCATTTACAAAAATGAGTATTACAAAATTATTCCCCACTGCAACGTTTGATCTCCAGGCCCTCCTGGTGACCCTGGTTTATCTCCGACTCCCATCGTGGTGAAGGGAGAGCGAGGACCTCCTGGACCTCAGGGCCAGCAAGGTGGCCAGGGACTGCCTGGTTCTTCTGGACGTGATGGGCTGCCAGGTGGGTCAATCTGGACTCTTTAATGGGACCTTGAACTTTTTCTTGAAGAACGTTTTTCTTTACTATTCTTGTAAAATTACAACTTTTTTTCTTGTAGTATTTTGATTCCATTCTCGTAAACGATAACTGATGCATTTCTCAGAATCTCAGATTGTTGTTTCATGTACGTGGCTCTAATTCTCTATCGTACAGATAAAATCATAAATGGTTGAAATAAGATAAACCAGGCTTGTATCCCCTAATGTGGCTCGAGCTTCAGAAACACATGATGCAGCTCAGCATCTTGTTTAACTGTTGTCAGGTCAACCTGGTAACCCTGGAGATCCTGGTACCGAGGGCCCTCCCGGCTTCAGCGGCCCACCCGGCAGGAAAGGAGACACAGGACCCGCCGGTCAGCCTGGTACGTAGAGCTCAGTCTATCATCCCAAAAAAAAAAAAAAAAAGTAAAGAAGAAGAAATCATTTTTATGTCACGACAAAACAAACAATTGCTGAAGTGGCTGAAAGTTGTGGGCTAAAGATTCTGACTACAGATTACACACAGGGAACAACCTGACATGTCTTTCCCGTTGCCTCAGGTCAGCGAGGTTACCCTGGTCCCCCTGGTTCAGACGGTCCACAGGGTCAGCCTGGTCTCCCAGGAACAGCCTCTGCGGCCCACGGCTTCCTCATCACCCGACACAGCCAGGGTACGGAGGTGCCCTACTGTCCCGACGGAACAAGCAGCATCTACGACGGTTACTCGCTGCTGTACGTGCAGGGCAACGAGAGGGCTCACGGGCAGGACCTTGGTACGAAGGATTTTTTGTTTTATTTCAGCAAAAACCCGAAGATGTTACGTCCTGATTTACTCATGTGTCTTTTCTTTGTCCTCCAGGCACGGCTGGCAGCTGTCTCCGCAGGTTCAGCACCATGCCCTTCATGTTCTGCAACATCAACAACGTCTGCAACTTCGCCTCCCGAAACGACTACTCCTACTGGCTGTCCACGCCCGAGCCCATGCCCATGTCCATGGACCCGCTCAGAGGGGAGAGCATCAAGCCTTTCATCAGCAGGTAGGACCGGGGGGGCGGAGGGATGAAGGAGGAGAGAGGAGTTGGACGTGTTTTTTTAATTTGACGTCTGCCTCTGTGTGCGTAGGTGTTCAGTGTGTGAAGCTCCAGCCATGGTGATAGCAGTGCACAGTCAGACCATCCAGATTCCATCGTGCCCAGGGAACTGGGAAGCTCTGTGGATCGGATACTCCTTCATGATGGTACGACCAAATCTACACGAGACGTCTAAACCCTCTAACAGAGACTAATTAATGACCTTTCACGTTGTCCACAAAGTTCAATACACAACCTTTGTCTTCCCTCTCCTCCCCCAGCACACCAGTGCAGGTGCAGAGGGCTCCGGTCAGGCCCTGGCCTCTCCCGGCTCCTGCCTGGAGGAGTTCCGCAGCGCTCCCTTCATCGAGTGCCACGGCAGCGGCACCTGCAACTACTACGGCAACTCCTACTCCTTCTGGCTGGCCACTGTGGAACCCTCTGAGATGTTCAGGTATGGACACACGTGACGGTAGAGAAGGGTCAGTTAGCGGCTGCAGCAGGAGAGAGAGAGAGACGGAAGAGACGCGACATCAAAACGACTGCGACTGCGTTTACATGTTCACGAGTGTTTTTGAAGCGTTGCATGTTTGTGTTAATCCCGAGAATAATTTCACTCCATCCGTATTAAATGCCTTTAACCTTTGACCCGTACAGGAAGCCACAGTCGGAGACTCTCAAGGCGGGGAACCTACGGACGCGCGTCAGCCGTTGCGTGGTCTGCATGAAGAGGACGTAACAGCACACGGCGATGAGCCCACTGTTGCCGGGGTGGGGGTGGGGGGGCGCCCAGTCATTAGCAATAAATGATTGGATGACGGGGGACAAGTAGCGGTAGGGGGGTGGTCACCATGGCGACATGATGGAATTCCAATGGTGCATTGTCTTCCGGAAAAAAAAAAAAACTACAACCTTCGACTTAAACAATGGTGCTACTGTGCGACACAGCTTAAAAAAGAAAGAGAAAAAAAAAAGAAAAAACTGACGTAAATAATAAATCTTACATTCAGTCTCTGTTTTTCTTAAGAAGTACCTCAGAATGAAAGCAGAAAAATCTCCGCTACATGGTGCCATGATGGATGCGTGACAAGAAAAGTGCATTTTTCTTTGTTCTCCCTTCTTTCCCTGATCGTTCACTGTTTCCTTTGACTTTTCTAAAAAGAAAAAAATAACTCTCGACGTTGGTGCAAGAAAAGAAAAAAAATGTGATACTGTTCATCAGTTTCCAGACAGAAGTGCTTTTTTTTTTTTTTTGTTTAATCGATGAGGACTGGATGGTTACCAAATCGGCACTTTTTGACTTCGGAACATCCATGATGAGATGCACTGACGACCAGCTTTCCTTCGTGAGACTGACTGCCTCTTTTTTTTTTTTCTTCATTCACGTTCTCTCTCTTTCTCTGTCGTCTTCCTGACGCATTACGTTACATTCGGTGGTACTAACCCTGCTAGGGCGCGCCTGCTAACCGTCAGCCTTCACCTTTCCTTCTCTTAACTTTTTTGTAAGTATAATAAAATGTGTATATTGTGTAAAACACCTTTTGTTGTTAGCGTGTTAGGTCTTCAGTCAGTACCAGCTGTTTGTTATGAATTTTTCCAGGTTCTATTTAGCGCACACACTCACGCATTCACACACAAACACACATGTTCGCACACTCCACTGCTCACACACACACACCAACTCAGATATTGTACAAAGGCTTTTATGAATGAAAACAGTATTTTATATATATATAATAAATATATATTTGAAAAAAGAGGATTAAAAGGTATATAAACTTTATTTGGCTGTGGGGAGATTGTTCACCGAGGTCTCGCATTTCACCCGGAAAGTAAAGCTAACTACTGAGCACAGACAGAACCGTTTTCCCTCAAACGTAATTTTTTGTATGATATTAACGATGCCAATCTCTTAAAAACTTTTGTATTCAATTTGTAGAATTAATAAATGTTGAACTGAAATAAAGGGGATTTGCTTGTAGGTAGTCTAATGATTGGGGAATGTTACAGATATTTTTTGCGAGAAAGGATTCAAATGTCATTTTGGCTCCTTGATTGGAAAAAATTTGTTTTTGTTTTTGACTTTTCTTTAAAAAAAAAAAAAAAAAACCATTTCCAGGTGCTGGGCTTTGCTGTGAATCGGGGGTCTGAGTTTTCCTCAGGGGCCTCGTTTTACACCCAAAACCTTCAAATCCACTTTGGCTGACTTTGAGCCTTTCTCCAAAACTGGTTGAAGCGTTCACTCTCGACTCTGTTGAAACGCAGGCGTCATTTTAAATCAGGTGTTAACGTGACGTGTGACGTTTCCCTCGCATCAGGCGGCACTACCTGATGTACTGTAAGTCTGCAAGAGCTGTCTGAGATGAGGGGGGAGAAATATTTTCCTGTGATTTTGTTATTTTTATTTTTTCAAAACTGCTTTTATGAATTCTAATTTTATCAAACTGGGTTGAGATTAAAAAAAATGTGTATTAATGTTTTTTT